CATCAACTTTGCCAGCCTCCTAAAACTCCTCAGTACACTGTCGTGCCTCGCTGATCTAAGGCTGCAAACCTGCGTTTTTAGCTCCGCCATCACCTCCTCCGTCTTGCGAAGTTTAGTCGCCCTGTCCACCGCGCATAGCTCAAAGACATCACCTGCATCAGAGAAGGTCCCATCCGTTAATCCTGCAGCCTCCGGGGAGCAGTCAACCGGCAACAGTATGGAGCATTCCATCTACAATCTCCTACAATACTGACAAAAGGCTTCCCCTTCATGGCGGAGACGTGGCACATGTGCGCACATGGCAATTGCCATTGTAGGTGAAATGCACATTCACAAGTCATCCATCATCTTATACAGCCGCCTCTTTGCACCACGGGTGCATTTCACCACCCAGTGCCTGCCCGCATCATGCAATGAGCTTATCCATGCATTTCTCCATTGCCTCAACATCTGCCTACGAGCGCACGGAAGAAACCGAGTCACTATGGGGTTGCAAGCGACAGCTCCACAGGTGAAACGTTAGGCGTCGCACGGTGTCTTCCAATCGCCATTTTGCCGGTGTTGCATACACGAAGCAACTCTCTCAGTAATCACACTGAATGACGATCGTAGGGAAGATTGCTCTGTCAACTGTTTCTTCAGATGTTTGTTTTCATTCTCCACTCTGTTCGTCGTTGCACAACCAAACAAACATACCGCGCGCTGACGATGAGCCGCCCACGAGGATGCCCATGGAAGCCATGTACGCCGAACATAACGGTACAATTCCGCACTCTTGCCTGCAAGCGCTCGCAGAATCCCGCTGAAATGTCGAGCATCACGGGTGTAAACCAACAACAACAGCCACTGCCGAAGGAGGTTGCGCACACCGAGATTTAAAACAGCAAGTTGTGCACACCGTCGGTACATATCCCTCATGACGTGAAAACGGCAAAATACCACCGCCGCGTTCGGATACGCCGACATCAGCGCGCCAACTTGCGCCATGTGCTTGTCCATAACCAGCGTTTGCACTGACGACGTGCAAGGCAACATCTCTTTCCTAAATTCCACCGCCAGTCTGTAGCATTGCGCCGTCTCATTTGGCAATAGCGCGTAAAAAAGTGAATACGCAAGTCCCGTTACATCCATTAACATACAGTGCCACAGTATATAGCCGCCTAAGTTCAACTGGTGCGTTGCATGGCCAACAACACCTCACAGTACCGGGCAGCTATGGATTCTATGCAAGACAGCACGAAAAATACGTATTTAACTATGGTTCCTTCCCTCACTACCCGACATGTGCCATTCTTCTCCAGCCAATCCGTCACCTCGCGCGCCTCCCCCGCCTGCTGCTCACGGTGACGACTTGTCACCGTCTTTATGCCGTCTACTGTCAACACTCGCCCATGCTTCCGGTTCATGTACCGACGAATCTCACGGGTACTTCCAAACGCTGACATAAGGCTCACAATCTCTTGCTCCTCAGCTTCCGTCGAGTGCCGATTTTGCGGATGCAGCCACGGCGTACCCAAATGGAAATCATGATTATGCCGCAGCTCCACTTCACCACGCTCGTAATAATCACCCCTCAATATTATGGAAAGTCTTGCTTTTCAGCCAAGCATTCTTTAACTATTTGGTCATGTTAGAGCATTATCAGTACCACACTTACCGTTTACCACGAACGTTCATCCGATTACCGTGCACACACTGGTGATGCACATATTGGTATGGATACCCTTCTGGCAAATCATCCCCCGTCATGCGTTTGGACCTAGTTCGAGTAACCACTGACCGCTTATAAAACGCAGTCGCAGTAGCCTGCTAAAATTTCTTCACATCCTGTTCCATGCCCGAAAATTTTCGCGAATACAATCTCACCAAACGATTAAACGTAGGAAGATTGTTCACCATGATGACAGGGCCAAGTGCTCTGTTCTCCGAGTCGACACTGCAAATCCTCCTACCCGATATGTTGTCGGAGGTGGTGAACTCCCAGTTGTCACTCAGCAGGTTGATTTAGGTGTCCTACACGCATCAGCACTTCATTCTGGAGACAACTGGAAGAAGGCTGCTTGTCGAGGGTTTCGTATGATGTGGTTTATCTGCCGCTCTTTCGAAACCTTAACTGCCAATTTGTATGTGAAGCTAGTTTTGGCATTCGTCCGACCCCACCTGGTATATGGTATTCAGGCTTGTCCAACAGGTCTTAACCGCGACAAAATGGACTTGAAGAGGGTGTTACGGGTGGGCACTCGGTTAGGGCAGGGTCTACGGGGACAGACGTATCCTGAACGCTTGCTCAGTTTGGGTATGTACTCAATGCACTAACGAAGGATAAGAGGGGACCTGATTCTCACTTATCGTATTTTGACGGGTAAGATTGGCCCGGACTTGTAAGGGCAATTTAGTCAAGCTACGTTACATAATCTCCGCGGTCACCCACTGCAACTGCATAAATCACGGTCTGATAGGATTAGGACGGAAACTCGTCTATCTCGACGAGTTATAGATCGCCGGAATTCGCTTCCAGATCACGTGGTTAGGGAACCACCGGTTAAGGGTTTTGCGCGCTAGCTCGATGCTCTTGTGTGGCAACAGCAAACCTTTTTCCTAGCTGACACACCTTCACTTTTCAGTTCCTTTTTTAATGACTCAAATATCTTGGTATTCCACTTGCTTAGCTCTTTCCACTTTCTCTTTTGCCTCCTGAGTTTACTTTTTTCTCTTTCTTACTTCACGTAACCGACCCAGCAGGGACTGCTAGGGCAGGATACGTGGGCATTAATGGTTGGACAGGGTGTGATGCGGTCTTTGTTATAGGTCCTTCAGTATTTCAAAGTTCGCCAACTCCTGGTTCAACGACACGCCGAAGAAGGAACACTCACGGGATAATCCTATCGTTCCAGTCCCGCTTGAACTTGAACTTGAGAGCTTCCAACATCGCGCCACGGTTCAAAACTGCACTTCGTCATCTACTTGAACAACAGCAACCACAAGTGTTAAAATCCACAAACTTTTATATTACCACGTACCTTAAATCCTCATGAAACTGTTCATTATACACAATACAGCATCAATAAGCGGCATAGTCCACTTTTAGCACGGCGTACCATACCACCCTCACCAAATTATGCACATAACATTTTGGTTAAGATCCCGGTCCGCGACGCTTCTAGATTCTAGTGCTCGCGGATATAAACTAACTCGGAGTAATGGCGCGTTAAGAAAGGAACACCCACCGGTATTTTTCCCCCCGTT